GACGTGTGCTCTTCCGATCTGTAACTTGGCGCCATTTATTGATTGATATCACTAGTACATATTACTAGTACATATTACTTTTTTAAAATTTAGTACAATAATTTTTTTGTTCGAGTAGCACATATTTAACGCCATTTTTTTTTTTTTAGAAAATTATTTTATAATATGTATTTTTTCTACAAGTAATATATATAACATTTAATTTTTTTAAAGTTATTTTATTTTACTAACAACTACAAATTTTTGTAGTTTGGCGCTAATTTTTGATAGCGAAACATTTGTACAGAGGACGCGTATACTTGGCATTTTTTTTACCTCTTTTTTTAAAAAGGTATGCTTTACATCATTGATGTTTTCTTGCATTGGCTTCTCAATAAATCTACTGACATAATTCACACCAAATGCTATGTCAGGTCTTATCTTCGACGATGCATAAAGCAAACATCCAACCATTTCTCTGTATGTATAATTTTTAGTTTGCTCTCCCTGAAATATAGGAACCTTAACTGGCTTAGCAGTTTTCATGCCACTCTGCTGCAGTATTCTCTTGACGTAGTCGGTTTGAGTCAATACTAAAGTATCTTTTGACTTGAAAAATTCATGTTCAATGAACATTTTGAACGAAGAAGCGATTCCGAATCCGGCGTCGCTGCTTCCGACGAACGTTCGACGTCCGAAGATGTTCGTTCGGCATCCCCCGAGGATCGCGTGCACACTTTTCTACGCGGAGTATTCAACAATGCCATGGCTAGCAGCGTCTATCTGACACTTCGAAGAAGGGCCGTCCTGTTAGTCCGATCCGCTCGTCCGTTCTATCCCGGACGAGCCCCCAAAATGTTGCGCTCGCGGACGTCAGTACGCGCACTCTTGACTCACAAGACACGTTTCCGCAAGGAAATGTAACACACGTCGGTTTTAAAATAAGAACTTTAATGCGAACACAACTTTACAGTAAGAACAGAATAAATCGTAAATGCACCGGGAACACATCCGAACGGTTTGACAGTCCCGCGGTAACTTCAATTCTTTTACTTGTTGATTCCCGTAGCAACGACTCATCGACGGGAATATTCAATACTTTCTCTCTCGTAACCAACGTCAGCGGACGGCGGTTTCAAAATCTACGATGCTCGAAGCATGGGCGCAACACTATGTAAAAGGGTTGAAACATCTGTTATAATTTGTACATTAAGTATTAGCTTCATAATAAAATTTGTTTACCATCACAGTTCAAAAAAGATCATTAGTACGTTACACTTAGTTTGGCTCAACAGCTTCATTATCGTCATAATTTGATTATGAGCTTTTGATAATTTCGTTTTATTTTAAATTTTATAATTTTATTTTATTATTATATTTATTTAATTTTAATTTATTTTATTTTAATTTAAAAAAATTTTATTTTATTTTATTTTAAACCTCAAAAATCAAATCGCTTTCTTTAAATTATAGATCCTTTTGATTACTACAGTTTTCTGTATTAAAATAAATATTACAATTGTATTATATTGTATTATAATATAAAATATTATTTCAAATTTTTATTTTTAATATAACAACTTCAGTATACTAAATTTTTTTATAAATCTACTTTAATTTACAATACTTTAATTTCGTTTTATATTTAAAAAATAACAACAAATAAGATATTAAGTCAATAAATGATCAAATAATAAATCTATCACATTAAGATAAGATTCTTTACTCTTATTTGCTTTGTGCATGAACGTAGAGGGGATTCGCGAAACGACTTAGGCGCTCATAATGGTCGGTTTGTGAAGTTGGTCTGAAACAGTGAAAATACTCGCAACCTTTTAATAAATTGGAAAAATGGAAAATAAACAATTAAAAAGGAAAGCAAAATTATATTGTTGTGTAGTAAATTGCAAAAATAATTCTAGTGATCATTCAAATATATTATTTTATTGTTTTCCAACATCTAATGTACATACACTATCCACTTAAAATACAAAGACGTGAAACATAGTTAAGAGCTGTAAAAAAATTTAGGTAAATATAATTTGCTAATGAATCAAGACTCAAAAATTGTTAAAAATATCTAATAGAGCTTATTTATTTATTTTAACAATTTTCTTTACCTAGATCCGATGGATCAGATTAGTATCCACATAATAGATCACGCATTTGCAGTGATCATTTCGTTGGAAATATGAAAGCAGAGGATTCTCGTAGTCCTAGCTACAATCCCACGATTTTTCCAATCATTTATAAAATATTTCTAAAAATATTACTGTTAAGCGATATCAACGTTTTTTAAAAAAATCTAAAGAGTTGGTGAAAAAAGATTTAATTAAAGAAAAGAAAAATAAAGAACTTTAAATGGAAGAAGATTGTAATCTTGCAGTAGAGCAAGATTCTTTAAAAGAAAATAATCGTATTGGATCTCTGACAAATTATCAAGGATGTCAAGTACAAATTATGTGTGAGAAATTAGACTCTAAAAGATCAAGCATGCACGTATTCATATGTAATCGCAGAGACCAGAGCAATGCCCAGAAGAACTAAAAATAATATACAATAGAAAAAACAAGATCGAAAAAAGTTGTGGAAATCACGTTTCGTATGCAGATAAGAATGTTGGAACACCTAGTTTGTTAAAATGTGAAAATGGTTTTCATAGTCTAAAAAGTATAAAAAACTAACAGAGAAATACTTGATCTAACAGGAGTGACATTAGACAATTTTTTCTTATTGTTAAAAATTATTATTATAAATGAACGATATGATAAAAGAAAAATTAAATAAAAAAAAAAATTAATGAAGAAAATAGAATTCATATTTCTCTTTAAAATGAAATGTGGATTAAGTTTTTCAGCCTTAAGTGTGCTATTTAATGTAAATAAAACAACAGTAACAAGAATATTCTATTTCACATTGTGATGCAAGATTTGGAAATGAGGGCACTTGACAATATTGGAATAAAATTGTCTTTTTATTTTCGGTATGTTGATGACATCCTAATGGAGGCACCGAAGGAACGGATTAATGATATTTTGCATATATTTAATAGTTTTCATAAGAGGCTACAGTTCACCGCTGAGATTGAGAAAGATCAGAGTATCAGTTTTTTGGGTGTTAAAATAATAAGGGACAATAATAAGTTGGTTTTAGATTGGTACCATAAAGAAACATTTTATACCTTTCTTTTTTGTCAAGCCACCCAATGTGTCACAAGATCGGTACGATATATGGGCTAGTGGATAGGGCTATTATAGTGTTCTCTGATTGAGGATAGGGGACCGTATTAATCACGAGAGTCGTTTTCTATTACAATATCCTTTATTCGCTCCTGCGTTACCCGCCTCCTGTCGGGTGTCCCGCTGCTGTTCTGCCTCCCTCTCCTCTAGCGCACTCTACAGCTATTATGTTGTCTCACCCTAGATTTCATCAAAAAAATCTGGCGTTAGTGGTGAACATGTTAATTGATAATGGATACCCGTTGAGTTTAATTTTCGATAAAATTAAATATAGAATAAAGAGTCTAATTTCCACTAAACTGAACAACGGTTACACTGTTAAAACGAGTGAGGATGATAGGAGGGTCATAGCTTTCCCTTACATCAAAAATGCGTCAGAAATTGTTGCCTCGGCTATAAATAAGAAAGAGTTTTTAGTTGGGTTCAGATGTCTCAATAAGTTGAATAAACTTATAAAGAGACATAAAGACAAGATCTCTACTGATTCTAATAATAATGCAGTGTATAGAATTAATTGTAACGATTGCGACGCCACATATGTAGGACAGACTAAGAGAAAGTTGAAAACGAGAATTTTGGAGCATAGGAAAAATATTCTTTTGGATGATTCGAAGCACTCGGTAATTACGAACCACATATTAGATTCGAGACAAACGTTGAATTGGGAACATGCGACAATTCTCGATTTGGAACCTAATTATCACAAACGTCTTGTTTCCAAAATGATCTATATCAAAGCGCAAAAAAATGGTCTTAATTCTAATAAAGATAAGATCGGAAGAGCACACGT